CCTCTTGGTAAATTATATATTATACTGCAGACCTCTTGGTATAGTTATATTACACAGTGGACCTCTTGGTAAATTGTATATTATACTGCAGACCTCTTGGTATAGTTATATTACACAGTATGCCTCTTGGTAAATTATATTTTATACTGCAGACCTCTTGGTATAGTTATATTACACAGTGGACCTCTTGGTAAATTATATATTATACTGCAGACCTCTTGGTATAGTTATATTACGCTGCAGACCTCTTAGTATAGTTATGTTACACTGCAAACCTCTTAGTGTAGTTATGTTACACTGCAGACCTCTTAGTATAGTTATGTTACACTGCAGACCTCTTAGTATAGTTATATTACACTGCAAACCTCTTGGTATAGTTATATTACACTGCAGACCTCTTGGTATAGTTATGTTACACTGCAGACCTCTTAGTATAGTCATGTTACACTGCAGACCTCTTGGTATAGTTATGTTACACTGCAAACCTCTTGGTATTGTTATATTATACTGCAGACCTCTTAGTATAGTTATGTTACACTGCAAACCTCTTGGTAAAGTTATGTTACACTGCAGACCTCTTGATATAGTTATATTACACTTCAGACCTCTTGGTATTGTTATATTACATTGCAGACCTATTGGTATAGCTATATTACACTGCAGACCTCTTGGTATAGGTATATTACACTGCAGACCTCTTGGTATCGTTATATTACACTGCACACCTCTTGGTATTATTAAATTACACTGCACACCTCTAAGCTTGGTATAGTTATGTTACACTGCAGACCTCTTGGTGTAGTTATATTGTAGTAAATGTCTACTCCATAACAATTTCTCGAACACGTATCTATCCAGGTACAACTCAGATTCTCTTGACTGTCAATGTCAACACTCGGCTACAATCCCGTGAACTATCAATGCCACTACTAATAGCTGCGATCTTGTTAGCTATCGATGTTATCACGGACACTTGCAATTAATTGATCAATGCCTAAACTAGGACACAATTCACATGGCTACAATCCGGTGCACTATCAACGCCAGTACTGCTGGTCGGGTTAGCTATGATGTCAATACGAACACTGGCAATTAATTGATTGAGATAAATCTCAAGGCAATGATCTCAATTGTTTCAACAAAACCAAATTACTCTCAATACCGTAATCAACGCAGAGTCTCTATATCAACTAGTGTATTTGAGGTTTATATGTTACAAGTTAAAGTTAATAGACGTATTTACAATTCCTACATCGTTATCTATATCACATGATTAAGGCAATCATGTTTTGTATTATAGCACAGCTGAAAAAGGCACAATTAAGATGTACGTCATTATATATATTACAGGATTAAGATAATCCTGCCAGGTATTTATTTGAAGCGCAGTTCAAATGAATAATGGGTTTTACATAGAAGTTTACAAACATAGAAAGTTAATAATGTACAACGTACTGCAGGTTTACAGAATACTGTGTTACCCGAAATGTATTACAATATTTCACTGCAGACCTATTGGTATGATTAATTTACACTGTAGACCTATTGGTATATTTATATTACACTGCAGACCTATTGATATAGTTATGTTACACTGCAGACCTCTTGGTATAGTTATGTTACACTGCAGACCTCTTAGTATAGTTATGTTACACTGCAGACCTCTTCGTATAGTTATGTTATACTGCAGACCTCTTGGTATAGTTATGTTACACTACAGACCTCTTGGTATGGTTATATAACAATGAAGACCTCTTGGTATACTTATATTACACTACAGACCTCTTTGTATAGTTATTTTACACTGCAGACCTCTTGGTATGAATTACAATGCAGACCTCTTGGTATAGTTATGTTACTCTGCAGACCTCTTGGTATGGTTATGTTACACTACAGACCTCTTGGTATGGTTATATAACAAATGAAGACCTCTTGGTGTGCTTATATTACACTACAGACCTCTTGATATGATTAAATTACAATTCAGACCTCTTGGTAGAGTTATGTTACATTGCAGACCTCTTGGTATCGCTTCATCGGAATATCTTTTAATTTCCTGCTTAATCAGCTTTTTTCTCTCTTTTTAGATATCCCTTCCAGATTCCAACCAATGAGAGTTTTCTCATTAAATGGTGTTTAAAATTTTAAATTTCCAAGCTTCTGATTGGCTGTTGAGGATTCTGCATACCACTGAGATGTAGACAACTCTGAAACTTAGCCATCAAATGTTTAGCCAGCCTCGACTTTGAAGTGTCGCGACGCTTTGGTCTTTAGTCTTTCCTCACCAACTCAATTTTACTTTATCTTAGCCCTAGACAATACATTTTAAAAAAGCAAAGGGCTTGTTTCTAGCTTAAGTTTGAAAGGAGTAATTGGCAAAATACTGCTTGATTTTGATTGAGAGCGTGCACATTTTGGTTATCAGTGATACGCCACTCTATTGGTTGAATTTTATACACTGTTCAGGATACAAACTAAAGATTAAATTATTCTTGAGTGGAGTTCATCGCATTGATCTCAATAACCACAATGCTAAAGTTTCCACCCAGAGTTCTTTATTTGTTTAAAGCTTGAAGTAATATCTGCTAGACGAAACTAATCTGCTAAAGTTTCCACCCAGAGTTCTTTATTTGTTTAAAGCTTGAAGTAGATTACTTAATTAAAAGTTTAGCTGGAACTAAACTAAGTGGACATCAACATAGTTGTAGAAACTTTCTTCAAATACAATTCTGTAATGTAATTAATCTCTCAACTAGGCCGGGTACAGTAAAAAGTCTGGCCGTGCCATTAAAGTTGCTCTAGTTATCCGACATAGGATAGGGGGCAGGCCAATACAGTACAAGGACAGTCAGGACAGTACAAGGAGTCGGTCCAGGTCAAATTCAATTTAACCCTAATCCTACGTGAAAACTGTAATTTGATTATTCTCTCCACATGAACGCTTTCCTATTTTTAATAAAGATTTTAGAAATTTATAAAACTTCTAGGAATCTCATGGGACCTTTAAAAAGTCTAAGACCTTAAAAAGTTTCTGAAAATGAATTAAGTATTCTGCTACAGAGATTCAAACATTGCAAGTTCTTGTGCAAAAATCGATGTGAATTTGCTAATTATAGTTCTTGAAACAAGTTTTTATAGTTTAAAAATATGTAAAGGGCTTCACATACTCAGTGAGCTACTTAGTGAGGTTACTTCTAAGGCATTGCGAAGTAAAAAGCTTCGAATCTGCAAGGTTTGGCATCGGCCTTGGTCAAAACTTTTCAGAATGCCAGGAGCTGGGGGGTTTTCAGGACAAATTAAAACGAAATGTAGAACAGAGTGTTCATATTTTTGAACAGCATGTTCGTAATTTTGAACAATATGCTCAAAATTTCGAACAAAATGTTCGAAATTTTAAACAAAATGCTCGAACTTTTGAACCAAATGCTCGTAATTTTGAACAAAATTTTCGTAATTTTGAACAAAATGTTCCTAATTTTGAACAAAATGTTCCTAATTTTGAAAAGATGTTCCTAATTTTGAACAAAATGTTCCTAATTTTGAAAAGATGTTCCTAATTTTGAACAAAATGTTCCTAATTTTGAAAAGATGTTCCTAATTTTGAACAAAATGTTCCTAATTTTGAAAAGATGTTCCTAATTTTGAACAAAATGTTCCTAATTTTGAAAAGATGTTCCTAATTTTGAACAAAATGTTCCTAATTTTGAAAAGATGTTCCTAATTTTGAACAAAATGTTCCTAATTTTGAAAAGATGTTCCTAATTTTGAACAAAATGTTCCTAATTTTGAAAAGATGTTCCTAATTTTGAACAAAATGTTCCTAATTTTGAAAAGATGTTCCTAATTTTGAACAAAATGTTCCTAATTTTGAAAAGATGTTCCTAATTTTGAACAAAATGTTCCTAATTTTGAAAAGATGTTCCTAATTTTGAACAAAATGTTCCTAATTTTGAAAAGATGTTCCTAATTTTGAANGAAACTAATCTGAAGATTAAATATCTGCTAGACGAAACTAATCTGAAGATTAAAGATGAAAATAAAGAATTCATGAGATGGATGCTTTCATCTCACAGATCAGAGATGTCACAATAAAATATAGATTTTCCTGAACATGGACACTGTACAGCCCATTTCCTGTACATTGTACAGCTCATTTCCTGTACATTGTACAGCTCATTTCCTGTACATTGTACAGCTCATTTCCTGTACATTGTACAGCTCATTTCCTGTACATTGTACAACTTGTTTCTTGTACACTGTAATCTTGTGTTCTGTACATTGTACAGCTTGTTACCTGTACATTATACACAGCTTATTCCCTGTACATTGTACAGATAGCTTCCTGTACCCTGTACATCGTACAGGTTGTTAACTGCACATTGTACTGGTTGTTACCTGGACATTGTACAGCTAATTTCCTGCACATTATAAAGCTTGATTGCTGTACATTTACAGCTTATTTTCTGTACATTGTACAGCTTGTTTCTTGTACACCGTACATACATTTTCGCTAGCGGCCTTTACCAGCATTGGTTCTTGGTCCAAAATATTCTTCTCTAAACTAACTCGGCTAAAATATTTGCTAAAGCAAGATTTACTTGTGTGTATTTATGTGGCTTAGATTTTTAGGTTAGCAATTTTCCTAACTGTGGCGGGGGAGGGGAGGGTAGAGTTTGTGTGCTGCGTATACCCTGGGTGTACCTCGTGTACCGTGTGCAGTTAAGAAGTTAAATGAAAATTATAATGGCAGTTTGGCAGTGAATAGCGAAGATCCTATCTTGTTCTACATCCCTGTCCAGCCAAAGTTTAAGCAAACCTTACTCTGCAAATGGTGCCCTTGCAACAGATACTAGAGACATCTTGCGGTGAAACTTAAAATTACCTTAAACCCCATTCCCACCATTGGCGCACACTCCCTTTAAAATTGCATCACTTTGAGGGGAACACTCCCTTAGCTGCCTACTAGTTTGTAGCGTGTAGCTTGTATTTGACATTTTTAGGCATATTCTTTGTTCTGCCGTGTATTGAATCTTATCAGAAAGTGGATCTGCGAACCATTACTCTAGGGGTCCCCCCGCAGGAGGTAAAAAATACCTTTTCATGTTTTTTTCTCTTTTTTAACCCTTAAACCCTCACCTTCGCTTTTAGTTTTATCCTTTTGTTCGTTACATCGATTAGAACTACCGAAAGCAATTCGAAATTGCAACATTGTGTTCGAAATTTTCTAACACAATGTTATGGATAACTCACAAATTTTAATATTCTGTTAGAATTTCTTTCGGTAAATACGACTAACAAAATACTTCTTATGACAACAGTGCTTACCCCCCCCCCCCTTTATTTACAATTTTAGAATCATTATCATAAAAAGTTTTTGATTCAACTTTCCTTATACTGTACTGTACTGTACTGTACTGTAATGTTCAGAACTGTACTGTACTGTACTGAAATATACTGTACTGTACTGCACTGTACTGTACTGTACTGTACTGTACTTTACTGTACAGTACTGTACTGTACTGCTTGTCACTGTTTGGAAAATCTAAACGTTTTGTTAAAGTGTTGTATTGTTTTTGTTGATGTACTGTAACTTTACTGTAAATGTACTGCATGAATTTGTGCCAAATGCCAGACTCTTATCAGAACTGATGGTTTTATTCTGAACTTTAAACCACGCTTTTCAGAAATTATTCTTTTTTTAACTTTGTTTGAGCTGCAATTAGAATGAACAGCTGATGTCAAAATTCAAAATTCAAAGATTTAAAATATTATTCAATAAAAATTAATGTAATTAAGCGTTTGGACCGCTCAAAGGTGTTTGACTTCAAAGTTTAATGAATTTTTTTTTGAAAATGCTTCAACAATCTCAACGTTCAGTTGAGGAACAAACTTTCTCTTTTAAAACGTGACTCCTAAATTAAGACTTAGGTTTGAAAATAAATTTTTCTAAATTGTTAAACAGTCCCTTTTATTTTATTAAGTTGGTGAACAGCCCCATTAATTTTACAAAATAAATGACAGTCCCTTAAGTTTTTTTCTTAATTTGTGATGGGTCCCTTTAATTTTACTAAATTGTTGACAGTCCCTTTAATTTTACTAAATTGTTGACAGTCCCTTTAATTTTACTAAATTGTTGACAGTCCCTTTAAGTTTACTAAATTGGTGACAGTCCCTTTAATTTCTGTATTCCAGTTGATCACAAAAGATTATTATTATTATTATTATTAAAAATATTATTTCACCTTTTAATTAGTATTTTTTAAGTTGATTTATGATATTTTTGTTATTATTTTGATTTCCTTTTTTGCATTTTTGGATAATTTTTGTATTTTAAATATTTCTCAAACGATGATTATTTTTCAATATTTTCTTATTATTTTTTCAATAATTATTATTGCAGCTGATTACAAAAGACTTTGTAACCGTATCAGTAGACGGAGTAGTGTACTATAGGAACAAGAACAAATCATTCAATTAATCAATCAATCAATCATCATCTTTTATCTATCTATCTATCCATCTATCATTCATCAATTATTAAGTAGTCTTTTGCTATAATCTGTAATAGTAATTTTTTAGTTTTTTTATCACTTTTTTGGTAAATTTGTAATTCATCAAATTATTTTTCAAAGGGACTGAACAAATTTTTCTCACACAGTCCCAGTGTTTAAAAAGTTAGATCAACAGATCATGCAGATTCAATTTGAAAATGCATCAAAATACGTAATATATGATTACTATGTACGCATAAATTCAATAATATTGCGTCACCACAAATGCACTACTTAATTTCGACTCCTTTTAAATAATTGATTTTTTAAGATTTTTTTACAAATTTGACAAATTGTTATCCCAAGAATGTATTTGGAATTTCGGATTATTTTTTTAGTATTTGTAAAAAATCATCAAAAGCTAATTCCAAAACCTCGCCCGATCCGATCCGACTGCTGCACAGTTTCTTTTTTTTTAACCCCTCCTAAAAGAAGCAAATTTCAAAACCCCTTCTTTACATAAAACCCCGTCCATTTCTTCACCATACTGTACTGTACTGTACTGTACTGTACTTTACTGTACTGTACTGTACTGCACTGTACTGTACAGTACTGTACTGTACTGTACTGTACTGTACTGTACTGTACTGTACTGTACTGCACTGTACTGTACNTTATTACTAGTATTATATGATTAATATTAATATTATTATTATCATTACCATAAATTTGTTAGATATTTTAAACAATAATTAATTTCCTGAGTATGATTATTGTTTTTACAAAAAATTATTATTTTGATTAATATTATTATTATTACAGTTATTAACAAAAGACTCTGTAACGGTTTCTGTGGACGGCGTAGTATACTATAGGAATCATATAAATCCATCTAAACTAAACTATTTTATAAAACCTATACCATCACAGTCGATATAACTAGTGTCACAATCGATAGATGTAGTGTCACAACTGATATATGTAGTGTCACATTCGATAAATGTAGTTTCACAAATGATATATGTGTACCTTTTGTCACAATCGATATATATAGTGTCACAATCGATAGATTTAGTGTTGTAACCGATATATGTAGTGTCACATTCGATAAATGTAGTTTTACAAGCGATGTATGTGTACCTTTTTGTCACAATCGATATATCTAGTGACATAATTTAGATATGGAGAGGAACATGCAGCCGATTCTTTCGTTAAAGCTGTATATCAGCGTAAAAGAAAAAGAGATTTGTTTTCGCAAAGTATATATTGTGTTTCACGTGCTATATCTATCGTTACATGCGCTCTATCTATTGTTACATGTGCTATATATATCGTTACATTTGATATATTTATCATTACATGCGCTACATCTATCGTTACATGCGCTACATCTATCGTTACATACGCTACATCTATCGTTACATGTGCTATATATATCGTTACATGCGCTACATCTATCGTTACATGTGCTACATCTATCGTTTACATGTGCTACATCTATCGTTTACATGCGCTACTCTATCGTTTCATGCGCTACATCTATCGTTACATGCGCTATTCGAGCGTTCCATGTGCTACATCTATCGCTTACATGCGCTACATCTATCGTTCCATGCGCTACATCTATCGTTCCATGCGCTACTCGAGCGTTCCATGTGTTACATCTACTGTCACCATTGCTATATTTATTGTGACAGGGTAAACCAGATTTAAAATTCCATTATTGACTAAAAATGTTGATTTCGTTTTATATTTTCGTCCGTACCCTCTTCTCTTTAAATGTGTCAGTTCCCCCTAAATGTGTTAGTTGTTACCACTTCTTTAATGTATTTTCTTTTAATAATTTTTCATAAATTTTGCTAAATCTCTAGTAAGTGAATGATAATGGCGTAAAGTAGATGTAGTTTAAGATCTAAAGATATTCTAACACTAAAATCTTGAATAACATGTATTGAGCTAAATCTGGTTTTCCTCATCTCAATAGATATATCGATTGTGGTAAAGTAAACACTGTAAACAAGAAGCTCTAGCATTTATTTCGTAATATCGGTCTACCGAAATTAAAATGGCGAACATTCTGTTAGAAATTGTTAACAAAATGTGTAAAATTGCAAACATTCTGCTAGAAATTTCGAACATTCTGTTAAAATTATCGAACATTCTGTTAGAAATTATGAACAGTGTAAGGTTTAAAAACAGTGCATCCTAGTCGATTCATTACAAAGTCTTTTGCTAACCCCTGTAAATAATAGATAATATAGCGCATAATAATAATATGGATAATGATAATTGAAAACAAAATGATTATTTTGCATTATCATTATTTTTGATTATTATGAATGATTTTATTATTATTATAATATTATGATTGCTTAAATTTACGTTCATTCTGTTCCAGGTGTTAACAAAAGACTCTGTAACGGTATCAGTAGATGCTGTAGTTTACTATAGGGACCTTCTTCATCCATTCATTCATTCATTCATTCACGATCATTCATTCATTCACATTTATTCATCCTTACAGTCATACATTCATTCATTCATTCATTCTGTAGATTACTTTACGAACCTTCATCCATCCATCCATTCATTCATCCTTTCACATTCATTTATTCCTTATATCATTCATTCATTCACCCTTCCATTCACCTTCATTCATTCACATTCATTCATTTATTCCTTCATCCTCCCTTTCATTCATTTATCCTGTAGTTTACTACTGGAACCTTCACATTCATATTCACCTTCATTCATTCATGCCGTAGTTTACTATAGAAACCTTCATTCATCCATCCTTCCATTCATTCATTCATTCATCTTTATTTATCCTATAGTTTACTATATGAACCTTCATTTATCCATTCATTCACATTTATTCATTCACCTATTCATCCTCATTTATTTTCATCCTAAAGTTTACTTTAATATCCTTCCTTCCTTCATTCATTTAATCCATCTTCGTGTTTTAAAGCGCTTACTTCAATTATTCTTAATTGTCATTTTCCAAGAAAAAATTCATCATTGTACCAAAAACAATCACACAAAAATTTTAAAATTTATCGATTTAAAAATTGATGAGAAAATGAAGTCTCCTAATAATTTCTAATTCTTGCGACAAAATACATTAAAAAATCCCCCCCCCTTTCTACCCCCTTTCTACCCCCTTCATATCACTCAGATTAAGAGTTTTAAAAAAGTTTGTTAAGATGATAGACCATTAAAACTTTACTTAACTCAAAAGTATTTTTTTTTCATTAAACCAGCAATTGTTTTTAACCTTTTTTCCAACAAATAAAGAAATATTAGATTACGATCTTATCCAAAAAAAGCTTAAATGATAAATGAAGAAAAAAATGTGGTACTTACAGTTATAAGATGAACATATTTTTCATTTTCATCATTTATATTCATTTGCTGTCATCCACATTCATATATTACAATCTATAGTCATTTGCTGTCATCCGCATTCATATATTACAATCTTTATTCATTTATTGTCATCCATATTTCTATTCATTCCCCCCCCCCTTTGAGCCCATGGATGAATTATATTTGTTGACCAGAGTATCTAATGCGACAGTATCCGTAGCAAATGTCGAGAATGCCCATCATTCCACAAGGTGAGAAATTTTCAAACAAAAAAATCTGAACAAATTTAAATTTTTGTTGATTTACAAATTAGTAAGATATTTAGTACGTAAATGGTGAATTTTATAATTAAAACTGGGAAGTCTAGATTTTAGTTTTTTGAGATTCTATCAAAGTTTTATGAGCTTCTTTTAAAGTTTTTAAATGATTCTATCAATGCTTCATTAGATTCTATCAAAGTTGTATTAGATTCTAACATAATTTCAAAAGATTCTATTAAAGGTTCATTAGATTCTGTTGAACTTTTATGAGATTCTAATGATGTTTCATTAGATTTTATCACAATTTTAGCAGATCCTATCAAAGCTTTCAGTAATTCTATCAGAGTTTTTAGTTATTCTAAAAAATGTTGAGATTCTATAAAAGTTTTTAAGATTCTGTCAAACTTGTAGTGATTATATCAAACTTTTCAGTGATTCTAACATAGTATTATGAGATTCAATCAAAGTATGAGGCTATATTTTAATCCCAACTTGAGCTCAAAATGTTATAATTCAATAATAAAGAAATCCCAAGTAAATTCCGCAATTTTAGCATCCAGTCAGAACAATACTGTATTGTTCAGCCGGGTAAATAAAGTGATCAGACGGGAAAATAAAACGATCAGCCGGGACAATAAAGTGTTTTTTACAGGTTGTTGGCGCAAACCACTCTTCGAAATATTTTGGGAACCAAGAACCTTCATGAAATTCTTAGTGACAGAGAGAGCATTTCAGGGTCCATGCAGGTCACATTTTTAAAATTTGTTTAAACTTTTTTAAAAACTTTTTCTATCTTTATGACTTCGTGTCATTATTTTGACTAAATTACCCTCTTATGAAATAAAAAAAAATTTAATTATTTTACTAATCATTTTGCTGACTTTCTGTTGTTAACAGTATTATCTATCCATCTATCTATCTATCTATCTATCTATCTATCTATCTATCTATCTATCTATCTATCTATCTATCTATCTATCTATCTATCTATCTATCTATCTATCTATCTATCTATCTATCTATCTATCTATCTATCTATCTATCTATCTATCTATCTATCTATCTATCTATCTATCTATCTATCTATCTATCTATCTATCTATCTATCTATCTATCTGTAGACTGTACTGGATGAGGCTACTACTGCCTGGGGGATCAAAGTGGAGAGAGTAGAAATGTGAGTATAAATATTTAAATATTTAAAACAAAAAAATGTATAAAATGACAAGTATGATACTAATACTTATCGAATGCCTGTTTATGCTTAGTATGCCTGTTTTCCTGTTTGAGTACATCGCTAGAAAAAAAATTCTATCATCTTTTTCGTAGCAACTAACTCACCAAAAGTCGTCAAAAACTACTAACATTAACTGTCCGCAATATCGAACCAAATGTTCGTAATGTTGAATTAATTAATTTCCATTAAAGGCATGTCGTTTTAATTTCATCTGACTCTAAATTCGAAGAATGACATGCCCGATACACAGCGGTACCCTTTAAACCTAGAGATATCGTCGTTTTTATAGCTTACAGTCCCTTTAATATTTTCCTACAGTCCCTTTAATATTTGTTAATTTACAGCAAAGATGCCAGACTTCCAGTGCAGCTTCAACGAGCTATGGCAGCAGAAGCAGAAGCTGCCAGGGAAGCTAGAGCTAAGGTATCTATCTATATATCTATTTATCTATACATCTATTTATCAATCTATCTATTTCTCTATTTATCTATGTATATGTTTATAAATTTATATATATATATATGTATTTATCTATTAATCTATTTATCTATATATTTATTTGTCTTTTTATCAATTTATATATTGGTCTATTTATCTATATATCTCTTTCTATCTATTTATCTATTTATCTTTTTATCTATTTATGTATTTATCTATTCATTTATTTATCTATTTATCTATTTATCAATCTATAAAGCTTCTTATCTACTTATCTATTTATCTATTTATCTATTTATCAATTTATCTATTTGCCTATTTGTCTATATGCCTTTTTATCTGTTTATCTATCTATCCATTTATCTATGTATCTATCTATCAATATAAACGTCATTCTATGTATCCATATATCAAACTCTCCTATCTACTATCTACCTATCTACCTATCTACCTATCTACCTATCTTCATATCATGATGATAAACTGGGCTTCTGGGGAAGACAAATTATTTTTAAATGATTTTCTAGAAGCAGTTTTCGTTTTTATTCATAAACATTATTCATAAACATTATTCATAAACATTATTTCGCAATTTATCTCGAAATTACCACAAAAAATGTAGAAACAAAAGAACAACATTTTAAAGGAGTTGAACACTTGCATCAAACTCAAATTCTGTATTTCTTTTAACTTTACAACCTAATTTTAAGAAGTTAATGAATTTAATTTTAAAGAAGTCATAATTTAAAATATCAAAATTCTCCGACATTAAGTGAATTAATTAAGTTTAATAAGTTTTCGTTTTTTTAGGTTTAAAAGAGTTTATTCACTTTTAGTAATCCCTCTGAGTTTCCTGCAGTAGAAATGCTTAAGTCACTTTTAAAGAGAAATTACAATTGAAAATAATCAGTTTTCCAAATTATAAATATTGAAATCTAATTCAAACTTGATCAGGCAAACAGAATTGTGAATCGGACATTTCCATCTTTGCATGGAGGGTCACTTGAAATTACATTTTTTAAATTCATTTTGTTTGATATTCATATTAGGTTTGAAACCATGTCAATGTCATCCCAAATATTAATTTCCTCCAATGAGGTTTGTTAAACTTATAATGAGATTTGAGAACTATAATTTGACATATATCAGAAACTACAACATTGTAGTGTGTATTGTATAACTGTATACCTCCTTGTACTTCTTCCTAAACTGAACTGTCTGTTGTACTGTACTGCCTACTGGTACTACTTTCTGTACTGTACTGAAAATATAAAAATGTACTTTAAAAGAATATTTTTAATCGATGAGATTATAAAATTTAAATGTGCAACTCATTATCTTAGACCTTGGAAATTTCAAATTATGAATTCTGTTAGACCAAAAAATCTAAGGTTTGGAAGATTAGAAGATTAGAAAAATTGAGTTTGTGGCATAATTTAAATTCCTTTGTTTTTATATTGTACAAGGATTTGTATAGAAGTGGAAATATAATACTATTTGTGGAGCTTTGTTGTAGCAGAATTTTTTTGTTTTAGTTTTAAAACAAAAATAAGAAATTCCTCCCTTTGCTCATTTGTATTCGGGCCAACTGCCTTAATGTTGTCAACTTCCCCTGCACCAGAGATATTGGAGAATTTCAGGATTTATCTTGTATATACAGATATTGGAGGATTTATCCTGTTTTTACAGATATATATTTAACTTTTCTTAAATTATATATTTTTAGGTAATCGCAGCAGAAGGAGAACAGAAAGCATCAAGAGCATTGCGCGAAGCTTCCGAAGTAATTGCGGAATCTTCTGCTGCTTTCCCCCCTTATTTATCAACAGGTTTATTCAAGTTCTGCCGCATGAAAATATGCAAATTGAAAATTACAGATTTTAGTATTCTGCATATTTCATTTGCAAATGATGTGATGCATTAAAACCTTAAGAAGTGTTGAATCTCAAATTAATCTTTTCAACATTATTCATTTATTTATTTATTCATTTATTCATTTATTCATTTATTCATGTATTCATGTATTCATGTATTCATGTATTCATGTATTCATGTATTCATGTATTCATGTATTCATGTATTCATGTATTCATTTATTCATTTATTCATTTATTCAAAAATCTATTTATTCATTTATTTATCTTTTCAGACCCTGAATTCAATATCAGCGGAAAAGAACTCAACGATTATTTTCCCGCTCCCAATAGGTCAGTGTGTTTACTTTATTTTATTTTATTCGACTTTTTTTGCGCTTGCTCCCAGAGATTTCTCTTCACTTTGACATGGGAAGTTTTTGTGTTATGATGAAATTTTGAATATTCTCAAATTTGCAATAGTTGGCCAAGTGTATAAAAACTAAACCAGGAAAGTGACCAAAAACATCAATGCTACGGTTTCTTCTCAGTGTCCGCCATGAAATATATTCCTCCGCTATGTTTCTTTCCCGCATTTCTCCGCCATTTTGATTTTAAGATTTACCCGTGTTTCGTCTTCTTTACTTTTTGGTGCATTTTTCCAGCAAGAGTTGAGTTAACTAGTTCTATTTTTAGAAATTCTTTCTAAAATTTCATCTCCTGGGACTCTTTAAAGCTTTTAACTAAACTTTGTCCTCTGAAGTTGAGAATTTTAAACTTTTACCAATTCTACGATGTATTGTATTTTACTATATACTATACTTACTATAAGCTAGAAACTCAAGGACCTTAGGCCCAGCTACTCCTTGTGCTTAATTTCTAACTTTTCGGCCATTTTTCTTCTTGTCTGGGATGTAAACAAGTTTTTGAAACCACGAGAAAAAAAATCATAAAATCAGATAATTAGAATTTAAGGAGAGTAATCAGTATCTTTGTTATTCTTTTGTGTAATTAGACTATCACACCGCTTTTGATAGCTAATGCTATCTAATGACTAAAGTGTGTCACAAAAGATGGTCGACTTAAATTCAACGGATAACGTGTAGTGTACCCCCTTTTAAGTCGTTCATACCTTTATTTGTATTGCACTTGATCATATTAGAAAGTTAACGAAGATATTTAATTTCCTTTTACTAATCTTATCCAATTATTATGAGGTTGTCAATTGTATGTTTTCATAAAACTTATTTTTAAAAGTAAAGTAATGGCTGATACTGAATTTTTAAAATTAGAATTGATCAAATTTGATTTTTTTTAGATTTGATTACTCACCTTCTCAGTGGGAAAGGAGACAAGTCGGAGAAACCAGAAAAACCCAAGGAAATTATTGCTTGATTTTCCTTAATGAAATAGTTTGATCGATTGATCAAAAAATTGATTGGTTGATTAGTTCGTGAATCAATTGGTAAAATGATTTATTTAGACCATTATTACAAATAAAGTTTGGGAAAATAGAAATAATTGGGGCTGTGACAAAGGGGGCTATGTGGGCTCATCCCCCCCCCTTGGGTCAATTAAATCAATGGTCTTCAATGGGGTTTAATGCCCCAAAGGGTAATGAGCTCCCCCTGGACAAATGATTCACAAAATCAAAATGATCAAAAGTCTAAGAAAAAAGTTTATGTGAAATAATGAAAAAATGGGGGTAAAGGTATGAAATTAAATGAATAAGAATTGGATGAATGAAATAAATAAATAAGAATTGGATGAATAAATAAGAATGAATAAATAAGAATTGAATGAATGAATAAGAATAAATGAGTAAGAATCGGGTCAATAAATTAGAATAAATGAATAAGAATTGGGTGAATGAATAAGAATAAATGAATAAGAGCAGGATAAATGAATAAAAATAAATGAATAAGAATTGAATGAATAAATAAGAATAAATGAGTAAGAATCGGGTCAATAAATTAGAATAAATGAATAAGAATTGGGTGAATGAATAAGAATAAATGAGTAAGAACAGGATAAATGAATAAAAATAAATGAATAAGAATTGAATGAATAAATAAGAATAAATGAGTAAGAATTGGGTCAATAGATTAGAATAAATGAATAAGAATTGGTTGAATGAATAAGAATTAATGTGTGGTTCGATGCTTTTGGCAGATTTCTAAGGCGAGATTAATGAAAGTAACTTTATGCATGGATTCAATTCGAAATTTTCCATTTTCTAATTAGATATTCAAGCAAAGTTTTCCCGCCAGGATGAATAGATAAATAGGTGAATAGATGAAAAGATGAATAGATGAATCTGGAAATCCTATCAATTTAATTAGGCAACTTTTCAATCAGCTCTTTTCTTCTTTCTAAACCAAACTCAACTAAAACCAAACAAACCCAAAACAAATTAAACTGAAGCCAAACAAACCCAAAACAAATTAAACTAAAACCAAACAAACCCAAAACAAACTAAACTAAAACCAAACAAACCCAAAACAAATTAAACTAAAACCAAACAAACCCAAAACAAACTAAACTAAAACCAAACAAACCCAAAACAAATTAAACTAAAGCCAAACCAAACCAAATCCAACTTATAAAACCAACCCCAACTTAACTAAAACCAAACCAAACTAAACTAAAACCCAACAAAACTAGATTGAAACAAAACCAAACGAAACTAAAACCAAGACAAATCAAACAAAAACCCAACTATAATAAAACCAAAACATTACAATCTAAAATCAAATCAAACCAAAATAAACTAAAACCCAACCAAACTGAAACTAAAACCAAACTATAATAAAACCAAAACAAACCAAACTAAACCAAACCAAATTAAAACAAAACAAACCAAACTAAATTAAAACTAAAAGAATCTAAAGCCAAAGCAACCAAACTAAAACAAAACCAAAATAAACAAAACCAAACTAAACTAAAAGCAAACCAAACTAAACTAAAACCACAACAAGCTAAACTAAAACCAAACAAAATTAAAATTAAAACTAAACTAATCTAAAACCAAACAAGACAAAACTAAAAACCAAACTAAAGTAAACTAAAACCAAACCACACTAAACTTAAACCAAAACACACCAAATTAAAACCAAACCACACCAAAATAACACCAAACCAAACTAAAAGTTAAACCAAACTGAAATAAAACCAAACCAAACTAAACCCAAACAAAGCAAACTAAACCAAACTGAAGCAAACCAAACCAAACCAAACTTATCTAAAGCCAAACTAATCCAACTGCAACCAAAAAACCAAACCAAAGAAAACAAAATCAAACAAAACAAATCAAGCAAACCAAAACAAACCAACTACAACAAACCCAACCCAAACTAATGAAAAAACGAAACAAAAGTAAAATAAATAAGTTTTTTACTAACAGAGGTTTTTGGCAAAACGGCACGAAATTGAAAATTGAAATCAGAAATTAAGAAAAATGGGTTCAATCATACTAGAAATTAATTCAGGGGGCAAAATAAAAATTTTTGAAAGTTGCGAAAGATATGTAATTATTCTAGAGGGAGGAAGGGGGTGTCACTCTTCCTGTGCCCCCTGCCTACCCCTAACCTGTGTAATACTGAACATTTTGTTTGCTAAGGCAACTACAGAGGTTTTGATATGATGCCAACATTTTTCTTCAGGTTTTGTATAATCCGTCAGCCTCGACTGTCAGTCAAAAACCTCCGTTTTCTCCAATTACTCTTGTACACAAGATTCAAAGTTGGGATAAAATCCTAGCTTTGAAGTTATGTCTGTATTAAACTTTATATTTTTGCTGAAAAGTTGAATTTTAGAATATTTATATATAGAGAGAGAGGTGTTATATTTATCCCACAACACAAAGGAAATTCAAGATGGCCGCGCATTTTCAAGCAGCGCATAAATCAAAAATGCCGCAATTTGTAATAATTTCCCGCCAAAACTTAACTGATAAATGGTGCAAGTTAGAATTACAGATTAGAATTTCTTCAGAACAACAGAACAACTAGCTTGTCAGAAATGATTCATTTGAATGTCCTGTTCAGCCCATTTCAGTCCTTTTCTTCTATTCTGTCCTTTCATATCTTCTCATCAATGAAATTTATAAAAATTATTTTTTATGTACGCCTACTAGATTACCTTTAATCGTACCGTACATCAGTACATAAGACTTGCACCTTACAAATCAAAACCTGCAAAAATTCTTAGCTCGCCCTATTGCAAATTGTAACGAAATCCTCGTAGTGAGAACCAGAAAAACTCTGGAGTAGGAATACGACTTTTAGACTTCAGTTGTGACTTTCAGCTTTAGATAGCCTAATAACAGTGTAAACAGACCCATTTTACTTAATAAGTGATTTGATAAGTTACTAGTAAAACTATACTTGCTTTTTAACAACATCAAATAACCCTAATTATTGCTCTAATGTCTTCTTCCTATTCCACTTTTTTCTGGTTTTCATTGTAGTTTAAAATTTGGCAAATTAGTTGGTAGGAAATGAGCAGAGTTATGTAAATGCCTCGTAAAATTATGTGCTTTCCCTTCCCTTTCCATTTATCCTTGCATTTATCCAATCCTATTCTATCGTTGAAGTTCCCCTTGAACAAATTGAGTGAAAAATCTTATTCCAATATTGAAATATTGAAAATATTGGTAACTGTACTATACACTTACTGCAGTGTGTACCGTAGATCATTCTATATTGTTCAAAATTCTTTAAGAACATTTTAATCATTTGAAATTCAATCTAAGTTTGGATCAGACCTAATCTTGTTTAATATTATATCTAGAGACAGAATGGAACCCGGCCAGTTTAATGGAACTGCAGTAGGACAATTAATATCAAACCAGTTTACAAATGAAAGAAACATAATAAGTTTTCCTTTTCCCGCCATTTTTTTCATGCCGCCATTTTCCCCCAGGCCGCCATCTTGAATTTTTTCAGAATCCTGATTTGTTCTTCTTGTGATAGAGAACATACAAAACACTGCAGGGGTTGAACGTGTTCAAAATCCAGTACATAAAGCATGTACAGGATATTGTGTTCTTTAGAACACTCAGCAGATCCAGAGGCTTGAACTGCAGTACAATATACTGCAATTGTACACTTCAGTGCACAATTTATAATCATGTGTTGTAAAGGTGTAAGAAACAGTATAAAATGACAATTGCACGAAAACTATAAAAATCCTCGAAATTGCTGCTTCCTATCAAGCTCCTCCTGTAGAAGTACAGCTTCAAATCAACAAAGAGACAAACTTTGAAATTAATCAGTTGCACGTTTTTATAAAAACAACCATTGAAATCATTCCCTAGAAAAAGTTAAAATTTGAATTTCATTTCAATCAAGAGGTCTCGTGATGTCAAACCATTGAGAATAAGTGAAAGAAGAGAGGGATAGGACTGTTTGCTAAATTACGACATTTAGCAATCCTATATTCATCTCTTATCCTATTCGAAAGTTCAAATTATCACACAGTTAGAAATCATTCTGGGATTTTTATTTCTATAAATTATGTGATTTTTAAATTAAGTTCCTGGATAGATTTGCAAAAGGGTCATTAAGTACCTAAAAGGACTGTGAGCGTAATGTAAAGTGACCCTCAATGCAAAGATGGCAATGTCCGATTAACAAGGGTACTCTTGAAATCTTAATCTGATCAAAAACATGAAAGATACCGTCGTTATTCCGACTCAAAAGTGTTTATCTCTTAGAATATCTCCATTGCTTCTTATAAGCAAAAAATGCGCTAGCCAATTTCACAAAGATGCTGAAAATAAAAATGAACAATTCAAAGTGACATGGATATCTAACTTATGTTTGGTCAGACGGAGCTTTTAAGGACACCGTTGCAAATCGTTGCCATCTTTGCATGAATGGTCACTCTAATCATCAGTCCCCTTTAATCACATGGCCGAAAGTTATATTAACGGATTGCTGCAATGATATAACTCACTGCCCCTCCCTCCACTGTTAAAAGAGAAATAACACTTTGTTCGAAATCTGAACACTAGGCTTGGGATAACTCACAAATTTTCCCTAACTTTCTGTTCGCAATTTCGATCCAAATATTCATAATTTGAAACACTTTCCGTAAGTTTATTTTAACGAACCAAAATGTTAACGTTTCTATTACCACACTCGTATCTTGATGACGAGGGGGTAAAATTTGAAAAATTTGAATTATTATTTACAAAGTTTTTGGAATATTGAACCCCAATTAACTCTAGAGTGGACCACTGGACATTGAATTTATCAAGTACCTTGAATGTATCAAGTACATTGTATTTATCAAGTACATTGTATTTATCAAATACATTGAATGTATCAAGTACATTGAATGTATCAAGAACATTGTATTTATCAAATACATTGAATGTATCAAGTACATTGAATGTATCAAGAACATTGTATTTATCAAATACATTGAATGTATCAAGTACATTGAATGTATCAAGAACATTGTATTTATCAAATACATTGAATGTATCAAGTACATTGAATGTATCAAGTACATTGAATTTATCAAGTACATTGTATTTATCAAGTACATTGAATGTATCAAGTACATTGTATTTATCAAGTACATTGAATTTATCAAGTACATTGAATTTATCAAGTACAATGTGTTTATCAAGTACATTGTATTTATCAAGTACATTGTATTTATCGAGTACATTGTATTTATTAAGTACATTGTTCTATTCCCGTAGTAGTACAGATGAACCTTAAATTTTAAATTTATCGAAAGAATCTATGAAATTTCGTCTTGACAATTTTCAATGGGTTTTATACTATTTTACGTAAATCTCAGTGATTGCGAAAATAAATGAACAGCCATGAATATGCAGGAACAGTTATATAGAGCTCCATATAATCATTTAATTAAAAAACTAAATATCTGCAACATTGCAATATCAGAAAATGAAGAATACGACATTTGAAAAAATTCTTTCGATGTATTTAATATTTAGGGTTTAACTGTATGTTACCTCCCTATAGTTTAAAAGTCTAGACCATGTTCGAAAAAAATCTATCCAAACGATTTTGTAAAAATGTTAGATGTGGTAATAATAACTTTTATCGATAAAACTTCGATATATTTTTACAGAGCCCCCCCCCCCCTGCTGTAATTATTTCCTATTACCCGGTATTTTAAAGTTCAAATTTTGGAAGCTTAAATATCAAAATTTATTTTTAATTTGTTGAAATTAGAGATTCATTAAATCCTAGAATTTTCATTCATTTAAAATAATACCATTTTTTGACAATTTTTTTAAAAGAAGACATTTTTTTCTTGTTTTATATATACAGGGCACAACAGTTTCGGGATAAGATTTTTTTTATCTATTTCTCTCTTTTGGTAAAAAAAACGCCATTTTTGTGATTTTTCTTGAACTTCGCAGGTTTTTTTGTTATAAGTCTAAGACCAACTTTAAGGTAGTTTTTTGCCTTTCCTTGGAAATAAAAACCATCTTTTCTTTTTTTGCTTCAAAAACCGGTGAAATTTCAAATTCCCCTCAAACATTCCGTTTATCATGCCAAAAATCTGACATGGACATTGAAAAATCATTTTGCAATTTTTCGTCACAGTTTTAATTTAATAAATAATTTAGAGAATGTCTAAGATTACAATGACTCTATTTTTGTTTCTTTTAAAAATCTCAGACAAAAACTTTGTTGTTTATGAACTATCAAAGATTGAGGACTATATTTTAGTGTTTTGCGACACCCTAGTAGTAAAAAAAATTGTAATTGTGGTTAAAAAACAAGTCTTGTCTTTTTGCTCAAATACTTTAATAAATTGTTCCTTAAACCTTTCAGGAATCCCTGACAATAATTGTTCAAAATAAACCGAACAAAACGTTGCGAAGTTTTGCAAACAAAAAATTGTGAAATTATGCGAACAAAATGTCAGGTCTTCATGAAACAGCAGATTAAGCAGGAAAGTAAAGAATGCAATAGAAAATAATAATATAATTTTAAACTGTACACAGGCACTTCAAAACTGGTATAGAGTGATAGGTGTCTTTACAGATAGGATGAAGCCGACATTGCATTAAAGCTTTGTTTTCCATTTTGATGTTTCAATAATAAATTTTTTCTAATTAAATGTAAGCTGGTCAGGAAGCAAAGCTGCAATAGAATGATGTTAGCTTTTCACATGTTAATACGCCTATCCCTTTATCTTAATTACATGTACTCTTGTAAAATGTACATATACAGCCAATCTTACATATAAGAATACATAGCAAGAGCGCATTAAATGTCGTCTTGAAATTTATTTCCAAAAGTTTGACAGCTGTTATGCTTCATCATTAGTCTGCACAAAAAGAAAGCTGCTGAGATGTTCGCTTTTTAATAGCCCTAAAATATTCAGGACAGCAATTGATTTAGTGAACTTGTTTTTCTGCGGAATACGACATTATAATAAACACTTACTATGTAATCATATATCTGGGATTCACTGTATGTAAATAGTATTTATTCTTTCTGGATAATCATCTTGATAAAATTTCGTTCTTGTACATAACTTCTACTATCGGATTATTATTCAATGAATTAATCTAAAAAAAATATTAATTGATTTTCATTGATTTTTTGAGAATGAATTTTAAAATATATTAAGAAATATTTTACTTATAATTATTTTGTTACAAACATGTGATGACTGTTGTACGTATGTGTACATAAATATCCCTTACAAAATATAAACATGTCTAGATTATATTTATGTTGTTATAGTTAAGCGTACATATGTGCCCAAAGAACCAACTAGACTTTTCATGTAAACTGTACAGTTACAGTTCTCAATCTATCTATTTATCTAAATCTTGTTAATATAATATTACCTTAAATCCTG